CTAATCACTAGTCTATTTGATGCAGTACGAATTTGGTGTTAGCCTTGTCCCTTGGCATCGAAATTTTGTAGTGAAAGGGCGATACTATGTTGAAGGGGGCAACGATTCGTTACAGGTTGAGAAACACTGCACTAAATGAAACAGTATTAAACGAGGTCATTTTAACAGAGTAATCGGGATAGGGGAACACATGACTGAAAATAAACAAATTTTACTTTAATTTTATATTATTATTATACAAATTAATATAAAAATAACTTATGTTAAATGACACAAACATATGACCACAGAAATGTATAATAATATATTTAGTTCATTTTTTGTGATGAAGATCCTGACTTTTCTGAAATTCTTATTTTTTTGCAATAAAGTCATGAAGTTTCATTTGTCGCTTTTTTCTTTCCTTAAGGAAATGTCAGTAGCAGAAGATTGCATCATAAACACCTCATTTTGCTTTTAACTCCTTTCAAAATCTAGATCATCTGCTACACTTTGATCAACAATTTCGGTTATTGTTACCAAACTTTTACTGAGGAAATCTGTAGAGAAATTTTTTGGGTTCTTCGTTTTCAAAAACTCTATTTTCCAGTTCTACTTGAATTCCTTGTTCTGCCAGTTCTTGAAGGTCATCATTGATAAGACTCTCACCAAACGGTAACTCCTCAATATCCTGCGGTCAACTCCTCAATATCCTGTTCGTCTAAATCTTCTAGTCCTGCTGTATCGATTAGGCTGAGTTTAATCAACCTAACAATACAGTGATAGGCTCTTCTCGTTGAATTCTTGGATACCTTCAGCCATAACTTTTTCCACACTTCGTGCATTTATCAGTTAATTCTTGCCAAGCCAAGTTGATATTTCCTATAGCATCCATGATGTTATATTTTTTCGAAAATTTCACCAAATAAACATAGATTTAAAGAATGTACACCTTTTTGCCACCTTTTTCTGATTGGTTCATGTTCGTAAATAATCGTATTATGTATGAATCAATAAAATGCCGTGATAATTTAAATCAACATAAATTTTGAGCTTGTTTTTAGGCTTCGAGCAGACGGCGTTATATCGAATTAGCGTTAAGCGGGGTCTTACTGTATTTCATAATGTAAGAAATTACACTGAATATAAACAGATTTTATTGTAAATGCAAAATTTATTGTAAATTTACAATAATTTCTAGAGGAATGAAAACTTGGAATTAGGAGCTTTTGCATTTTTAACTGATAGACATACATCAGTAATGATAAATATTTATCTGTTTATAGATTAATAATGGTATTCCAGTGGTTTTGATGTAATTTTTAAATTTTAATCTAATAATCATTAATTTTTTGCTATTGAAAATATGGGGAAAACTCAAATAGTTAAATTATAAAGAGAATATTAGTTTGCACAAAACTATTATTGTCAAATATATAAATATCATCGATAATACCATAAAACTTACAAGAGGCAGAACCTCCTAAAATGAAAATTTGTGAAAACTGGAAAATTGCATTTATTTTGGTGTTATTACAAATTTTATTCAGAATGTAGACTTCTAAGGTGAAACTTGGAGGAACCTGTAAGATGTGAATGGAAATCTGTGTGTTATACAGTCGACCCCCCTATAACGTACGTTCCTATAACGACAATTCCTATAACATAGCGAAAAAATTGTAGCAACTTTCGTATAAAGTACCTCCTATAACGTCGTTTCGCGACAAGATTGATAGAGTCTGGACTAATAGTGGATGAGCAGCCGAACTACTTTCCTCCGACCCTGCGCCACGCTACGGAGCGGCTAAATTGAGTTTGCTATTGTCTGTTTAGTATTATATATAAATTATATATAAATTAGGTACTGTACATATAATTATATATTAATTATATATAAATTAGGTACTGTATATATAATTATATATTAACTTAATTTATTGTAACTTTATTATAATTATATATATGCTTTCTGCCGCCTGGCAACACGCTACGGAGATTTTAGGCTAGTAAGTTGAGTTTATTATCGTCTGCACAGTA